ATAATGTGAAACTGTAAATGTTTGTCCATAGAGAGAGAACGAAGAAGATTATATTAAATGGACCGCTAGCTTAACCAAAAAAAAAAACTCATCAAAATTGGTTATATAATCATCACAAAGGACTTTTAATATAAAGGACTTTTAAATACAATTCCTAAAATAAAAGAATAAATAAATATCACAAACAAAATTCTTTTTTATAGAGGTTGAATTCATAATCTTATAGCACAAAATAATATTATATAATCATCCAATCAGAAGTCCTAGTTCATCACCCATTACCTACTCAAATTTTTTTTAAATAATCCAATTTCAGCGACTCATAGTACCATCGGAGTGTGGAAAAGTAGATCTGTCTACTTCCTTACTTGAACAACATTATTTCATTTGATAAATTTCAATAAAAAATTTTAAATCTAGGTGGAGTTTGCCCTTTCAAAAATAGTTAAGTGTTGTAACAGCGGGAACCACCCGCTGGTTGTTGGAATTCATGGTACGAACTGTTTTCACACTATTAACCCACATTGACTTTTTCAATTTTTATGAGACGATTTTCAGAATAATTTACATGAATTGTTTGTAGTTTTTTTTTTTAACTATAATTTCAGAGTTGCGTATTGCCCTGTTGTTGCAACTTTTATTTTTAAATAAGTTGAAAAAGTTAATTACCATAATGTTAGCAAAATAATGCTTTCGGCGTCTTTTTTATTGCTAACCTTTAACTTACAATAAACTGTACCAAATAAACACATGAACGGGTTCATTTGGGATGTGGGTTGACTCTTTGGCTTTTTAACTTTTTGGCTATTTTAGCCTGGGTCTAAAAAGCCTCACTTGGGATAGGCTTTTTGGCTTTTATAAAAGATAAAATGAAATGAATATTGTTTAGATGTAACATTTTGTGTTATTGGCTTTTTTGCCTATTTTGTCTTTTTGCCATGGCAAACGAAGGACCAGTTGTTCATTCCTTCTCTTCTACCTAGTTAATAGAGTGAGTCAACATTATTTCTTGTCAAAATTGTCATCACGTAAGTAGTTGGGAACATGAAATAAATAACACCACATGATACTCTTGGATGACTCAATAATTATCCTTACTAACTGGCTAATTATGTAGTACTCTAGGAGAAAAATATGTTGATTCACTTTTGTTTAAAATTTAAGAAATAATAAATAATTCACTTAATATGTTATGATTTCATACTACAACAACTTGCATTAATATAGTTCGAGCGACATTTTTCATTTCAAAATAAAGGACTTTAAACTCTTCAAAATATATTCATTATATGTTGTATTAGTTTGTAATATTTCATTGTATTCATTTGATCCCCAACTTATTCAATTCTTATCTCAATGATGAAATGACGGCTTAGTTATATTTTATGCCCTTCTAATTTAACTAAAAACCACATAAACCCCCATTGCAGTCTACAGTAAAGGAAACAACCCAACTTCGTTAACAGGTGTACCAAACATTCTAGAACTTATATTAGGTTTGATGGAGCCTTTTATTTGTATGTCATGACACTGCAAATCTGTGTCTGTATGTATTTATCTTTGTACATTTACACCACTTACGCACTATGCACCACTAAAATGTTGGTTATCTCACCCACTGTTTCAGTTAATAGAAGATGGGTTCATTATGAAAATTCAATTGTCATTTGTGCAAGCATTATGTCTCTTACACACAACGTTGTCTTGTGCAGGTGAAAGATCAGTCGAAATTGAAATGCCGACGATCTGATTCAGGCTTATGGGACACCGCCTTGGACCATAGAGTCCTACGTTGCCTACTCCGTGCGGGGTTCTACGGGGTGTATCGGATCGGACCTATTCGATTGGACCACCATCTCGTTACAACTCTCGTAGAGAGGTGGCGCATAGAGACGCGCACATTTCATTTTCCTGTTGGAGAGTCCACAGTTACATTACAAGATGTGGCTATTCTATTTGGCCTACCGGTTGATGGACACGCAGTCACAGGAAAAGACCCAGCAAATATGTTGGCTGATTTGATAGCACTATGTGTGGAGTTGTTAGGAGCAGCACCTACACAAGAAGACTTCATAGGCTCATCACTTAAGTTGAAATGGATATCCGAGCATTTCCGTCACCTTCCACATGATGCATCCGATGAGACGGTTCATCATTATGCTCGAGCCTATATTTTGTGGCTTATTGGGAGGGGGTACTCGTCCCCGATAAGTCACAAAATATAGTCAAGATGATGTTTTTGCCACTACTTAGAGACTTTGACCGTATCCAGGAGTACAGCCGGGGTGGTGCCACATTGGCATGTTTGTACAGGATGTTGTGTCGGGCAACTAAGGCTGATACAAAGGAGATAGCTGGCCCACTAGTGTTGTTACAAGTGAGTTGCAATGACTTGTAGTTTTATCTCATATTCTCAATTGCCATGTTTTCTAAAGTGCCAACTGTAATAAATTAATAATGGCATCATTCATTGTAGGTTTAGGCGTGGGAGAGATTGAGCAGGATCGCCCCTAGTCGGAAGTCGAACATTGCTGCTGGCGAGCGTGCCATAGGGGAGGGCGACCAGCTGTTACCACCTGGCCCGCAAGCTTGCAGGTGGAGGGTTCTCTTTAGCCATGAGGTGATATCGACTAATGTCGGTGTCATCTTTCGGGACTAGTTCGACCGCATGGTGGAGGGGGAGGTTTGTAATTTGTTCATGTGAATTTACCCATTTTTTTGTTTGTCAACCTCCGTTGTACGAATAGATCTCTAAATTATTGCATTGCTATTGCAGTTCATATGGAAGCCTTACGGGACGGAGGATGACATCATGACTAGCTTCCCATCGTATTGTACCGTTGGTTGAGACATATAGATGGCACGAGTGCCACTTATATGCTTCGATATCATTGACTGGCATCTCTCCAACCGGGTGCTTAGACAATTTGGACGTGTTCAGAGTGTGCCTGATCGCTTTGACGCCCACTTGGCTATGCATTTTAGAGATAGGCATGGCAAAATGGCCATTGATTGGGCAAAGGAATACCAGACATTTATTGGTGAGTGGAACAACAGACGTAACACCATTGTCCATGCTGAGAGGAGCAATGAAGTGCTTACATCTTCGGACCCATACATGTTATGGTTTCGCCGCCATACACGTCTAGTGCTTAGTAATCCGAGTGACATTGCTGCCTTCGGATACCAAGGC